AGTGATTCTCCTGCCTCAGCCTCCCAAGTAGCTGGGGTTACAGATGCCCACCACCACAGCTGGCTAATTTTTTGTATTTTTAGTTCGAGACGGGTTTTGCTATGTTTGCCAGGCTGGTCTCGAACTCCTGACCTCGTGATTTGCCGGCCTCGGCCTCTCAAAGTGCTGGGATTACAGGCGTGAGCCACTGTGCCTGGCCTTGTTTTTTTTCCACCACTAAAAATTGTTGTATACTGTATTTTTTATAGTGTACAACATGATTTGATATATGTATACACTGAATGGTTAAATCAAGTTATTTAACGTGCATTACCTCACATACTTATTTTTGTGTGGTGAAAACACTTAAAATCTACTGTCTTAGCATTTTCAAATATACAATATATTATTATTATTTTTTTTTGAGATGGAGTCTTGCTCTGTCACCCAGGCTACAGTGCAGTGACTCACTGTAACCTCCATCTCCTGGGTTCAAGTGAGTGATTCTCCTGCCTCAGCCTCCACAGTAGCTGGGATTATAGGCGCCCATCAACACGCCTGGCTAATTTTTATATTTTTAGTAGAGACGGTGTTTCACCCAGTCTGGTCTTGAACTCCTAACCTTGAGATCCACCCACCTCATCCTCCCAAAGTGCTGAGGTTATACAGGTGTGAGCCACCACATGCACCCGGCCAATATACAGTGTATTCTGATTTTTTCTTTTTAAGTAGAGACAGAGTCTTACTTATTGCCCAGGCTGGTCTTGAACTTGTGGGCTCAATTGATCCTCCCATCATAGCCTTCCGAGTAGAAGTAGATAGGTGTGTGCCATCATGCCTAGCTAATTTATTTTTCTTTTTTGTGGAGATAGGATTTTGCCATGTTGCCCTGACTTGTTTCAAACTCCTGGGCTCAAACAGTCTGCCTGCCTCAGCCTCCCAAAGTGCTGGGTTATAGGCGTGAACCATTGTGCCTGACTTGATACATGGTTTTTACTTTTTTTTGTTTTTGAGGTGGAGTCTTGCCCTGTCGCCCAGGCTGGAGTGCAATAGCATAATCTCGGCTTACTGCAACCTCTGCCTCCTGGGTTCAAGTGATTCTCCTGCCTCAGCCTCCTGAGTAGCTCGGATTACAGGCATGCGCCACCATGCCCGGCTAATTTTTTGTATCTTTAGTAGAGATGGAGTTTCACCATGTTGGCCAGGCTGGTCTCAAACTCCTGACCTCGGGATCTGCCCGCCTTGGCCTCCCAGAGCACTGGGATTACAGGCTGAGCCAACACACCTGGTCTGACCAACGTGGTTTTTGTTTTTAATTTTATATGATGCATCACATTTATTGATTTGCATGTGTGGAACTAACCTTGGATCCCAGGAGTAAAGACTACTTGATTGTGGTGGATTAGCTTATTTATTTTTCTTT